CCTTTGTTAGGGCCCAGTGCTGAGGCATGGGGACCTGGGGTCTGAATGTAGATCTGACTCAAAAACCTACATTGTTTCTGTGCTGCTAGTTTACTGCCCTGAGAGATGAAACCCACAAACAGACATTAAAATGTGCAGACATTAAAAAAACTAGGGCTGGGGCTGTAGCTCAGTGCCAGAGTGCCTGCCTAGCTTGTGTGAGGCTTGTGTGGGTTTGATCCTTAGCGCCATATAAAAGTAAATAAAATGAAGGCATTCTGTTCATCTACCAAAAAACAAAAACAAAAACAAAAACAAAACAAAAAAAAACTTACAGCAAAACTGTCATTGCCTCAGTGACCTTGTTCTTTGGTTCCTGTTAAGAATGTGAATATTCACATTTATAGGGTTTCGATTGCTTCATTTCACATTTAAATATCATGTCTCTATAATTTATTTTAGCACATAGCAGAAGCAAAGATCTAAGTCCTGATTTTTGCTTTCACAATGGTCCTTTGTCCTGACAGCGTCTGTGGACAAGTCCATCCTTTCCAGCGTGATTTGAAATGCTGCCTTTTTTCCCAGATTGATTTCTGGGAAATCAATGATGAATGACAGCTCCATACACTGTAGCCAGGTGGGGAGCTGGATTTGAGGTGGGTGGCCCCTGGCCGTCCAGCCTCGGGAGAGGGTGAGCCCGACTCGGCCACACTCCAGAGGCCATGGGGGGAGGCTGCTCTGTTCTTGCTGGAAATGGGTGCCGCGGCAGGTGATAAAGACTAAACAAGTAAGGGGCATGCGGTGCTGGGGAGGAGAGAACATGACATCTTGGAGCACCTCTGCTCCTGGGGTCACTCACACTTAGAGGAGTGTCATGTTTGTGATGCTCAGAAACCATCCTGACGCTGCCTACTGGCTCTACTGCCCCAGGAAAGTCACAACTGCCGCCCCCCCCCCCATGTGACAGCAAAAAGGAATTCATGTTTAAGTTAAAGCCTGTTGAGGTTGCCTGCTCCACTCCACATTCCCATCCACCCATGGCTCAGTGTTCTGCTGTGGCAACGTGAGGCTGGCGGGGGGGCGGGGGGCACTTGGACAGCACAGTGATGGACCTTTTAAAAGGTTCCACCATTAGAGCATGGCTTTGCCTGCGCGTGTTATCTGTCATGTTTATGTTGATAGAAATAGAGGGCCCCCTCCAAGAGGCTGGAATCGGTGTCTGGGCAGAGGAGGATCATGGGAGGGTGATGGAGTGGATGGGGTCAGCGTTGGTTGTCCAGTTGTTTCTCACAGGTGGTTTCTCTGAGCTGACATTGGGCTACAAGGTGAGCTACTGGCCGAGACCTCTTAGGGCAACTTGAGGCTGTTCTTGAAAAGCTATCATTGTGGGTTTCTGGGTCATCCTGGGGAGCAGCTCTTCTCCAAGACTTTTCCTATGGAGTAAAGGTTTCAGCTGCCAAGTCTTGAGTGGCAGTGTTCAGGACTCCATTATCTGGTACCTAAAGAGCCAGAACCCAGATGCTTGCTCAGTCTCTTCCAGTAACAGTGAATTGTGGCTGGGTTCCTGTGCTGCCCATGGTGATCTAGTCTGCTGCTATAGTATGGAGAGCACTTCAAATAATTATTTTACCTAGGTCGAGGTCCTGGGTGAATCCCACAACTCCTGAACAAGTATGCACTGCAGACGACCTGTCCTTGTGAGCATGCACTGCTGCTTTGTTCCCACCTCTGTGCCCTGCCTTTGGAGAGAAAGTCACTCATCATAGTGATCTTATAACATCTTCAAAGCTACTACATGCTGGACATTGTTCCAGGCACCTCATTTGCATATGACTTTATTGAATCCTTAGATGCTCAGATTCGAGACAGAGTTGTATCTATAAAATCGGATTTTTAACAGAGGGTCAGTAACTTGCTCAAGGTTTCCCAGGTTTGGAGCTGGGATTCGAGCCCGACTGCAGAGAGTGCTCTAAAAACCCTGAACCCTGCTGCATATGCTGCTCTCTCCACCAGTTCAGAGCTTCAGCCATCCCACAGGAGTGTGGCGTTGCCCCACCTTGTAGTTTCCAAGGCAGATACATGTCCTTGGTTACCCTGAGGTGAGTAGTCGAGCAGCAGTTTGAACTCGGATCTGCTTGGCCCAGAGCCGTTGATGGCAACTTTCCACGAATCAGTGGGGTGGAAGCTGCTAGAACTTCTGATTCTCTTCTTGCCCTCTGTATCTTCCCGCTCTTGGTCTTTTCCAACTCTTGAATCCGCCCAGGGCAAGTTTTTCAACCTTAGGCCTTAGATAGGATTTAGAAGGCCACTGGGCCTCCTATGGGGACCTGGCATGAGGTGGCCAGAGAGTGGAAATGGAGCTGGTTGGGGCTCAAGTGCTGCTAGGCACATAGAAAGCATTTACTCTGTGACAACTGCTGTTTTGGCCACCAGCTTTAGGTGTAGACGGGCTAGGGAGGAACAGTCTCTTGGGCCACTCGTTCACAGAACTCAGATCCATGCACCTTGACAAAGCCCTCAATGTGAAGGAGCTGTGGATACCAAGGTGCATGACATACTGTGTACTTTGGAGTCGTGCACACCTCAGCAGACAGGTGACTAATTACTACATACCTTGCAATGTGCTGCAGGGTGGTGGGGTCAGGGAGGCCTTCACAGAAGAGGTGCCTTTTCATCGGGGCCTGGAGAATTGGTTGGTTTTCTTATTGAGACTGGAAGTGCGGGACAAGCTGAGGGAAGATGGGTTCTGGCCAGGAAATGCATGAACTAACATGCACTGGGTTATTATCTTGGGTGAGAATCTCTGTGGATAAGGCCAAGGTGGTTGAGGCACAGTTGCTCTGGAGGGTCTCTTGGGAGGCCACTAGACCTCCCTCTCTGAGCATAGGGAAAAGGTTGGGTGGTATTCAGGAGCTACGTGGAGTGACAGATGTCAGCTCATGACCATGGTGGTGGTGAACAACTCCTTCAGGGCCCTGAAGGCGGTGCAGTCCAGTACACCCCTTCTCTGAGCTCAGGCAGCAGAGGAGCATGCACTGCCACGTGCCATCTGTTGTGCTGTTGCCTGCCCTAGGCTCAGTACAGGCAGTCCATTCATGTCGACCAGGCCTGCACAGGACATTCCACCATAGCAGACACATGGCTGACTGGGATGCCCAGCAAAGAGGGGGGGTTTCTTTGTTTATAATGAAATGTCACCTATTCCAGCCTCATGATACAATTATGAGCATCTTATTCTTTTTCTCTTATGAGACTTGGGCAGCCAAGAACTACAAGGGGAAAGAAACTATAAGAAAACTTGGAATTCAAACGGGCCTTGGAGTAAGGAGCTACTCCCTAAGGTGCCCCAACATGCAGCTGCCACTTGTCCTAGGCTTCCTGGAGATAAGAGCCAGAGAGATTTTATCCTGCTTGTCTTCCAAAATATATTGGTGTCTAGGGTCCCTGCCCCATGATAACACGAGAATAAGTTACTTTTTCCCCCACAGATTTATCAGTGTTTCCATTTTAATATAACTAACTCATATAGCATTATGATGAGTTCTAAAGGGCTAATGCTTCTAGCCATAGGCTGAAAGAGACACGGTCCTGACAGCACCATCCTATCTAATCTCTCCTTTGGTCCTTGCAGCACCCCAGGGAGGCAAGAGGGTAGGTACTGCTGCTCCCCTTCGTGCCTGAGAGAAGGGCTCTGAAAAGCTGAGACGCTGGTTCAAGGTTCTGATCAAGGGCCCTAGTTACCTGGTTGAGTTCAGAATGAAAAATCTTCCAGACTCGTTCATCATAGGCAAATGTGAATGTGCTTTCTTGTGGGTTAAGAATCCTCTTGTGAGAGTCCTTCCTTGGGAAGGTGCTTGAACCCAGTAGGGCTCAATAGATGTTGAGTGTGTGAATGAATGAACATGTTTAATCTGGGCCACCTCAACTCCCACAGAGCATGGCTCAGGTGGGCAGCTTGCTGTGCTCTGGCTTCAACCATTTCCTATCCTCTGCCTTTCTCCTGGGGGTGGCCCTTTTGTTTCTCAAGACTGCTTAACTCTGCTGTGGACTTACTGACCCTACTCTTCCTTTTGCCCCTCTTCTTTCTAATCTTTATTATTCTTTTCCAGAAATGTGTTTTTTTACTGTTAAAGACAATTTCAAGATGGAGAAATTTTGCAAGAGTCATACATGACTATGGTCTTGAAGTATGGTGCTGCGAATTAAATCCCTCAGTGTCTGTTGTGGCCTCGTCACCTGGGCCTGTGTGTTTTATTGGGCTTTGAAGTACACATTCTCCTGCTGGGTGCACAATTTTTGCCATGAGCTTCTAGTAGTCAGTCCTTGGAAGCTGATATAGTTCCCAGGGTCCATTAAAGGAAATAGACCAAACAACCGTAGCTTTAGGAAAAATCAAAATTCCTGATTGTAGGTCTGACTGAGTGACCTGGAAGTGACCAGCACAGTGGCAACACTTGGGTTTGATGTATATGGGAGGGTGTGGTTTCTACCCAGGCAGGCTTTCTTGTGGAGGATGTTGGGAAAGTAGCTTCTGAGAGTGATCATGGCTGGGTATTGAAGACCCCAGTTGTGTTGCCCATAACTAGCTGTAGAGGGGAGCAAAGGGAAAGCCTGGTCCTTGACTAAACCTGAATGACTACCTCTGTGCCATTATGGAGCCAGGGTCACTCGGTCTCCTGTCTAGGTTGATAAATAGCTTTAATAGGGAAAATCATTGTTCAAAATAGAGGCTGTCCAGGATCGGGGACTTGGGAAACATTAAGGAATCGCAAGCCAAATGTGTTCACCAAGGAAGTAGCTCTTTATTTGTTCTTATCCTGCCCTGCCCTTCCACTTCGTGTGGCTGATGGAAGTGCACAGCTGAGCCTTCTGGATCTCTAAGACTGTGCAGGAATTACTTTTGAAAGGAATAAGGAACTTTCCAGACAAGCTGTCCTAAGGGCAGATGATCCAGTGAGGTGAGGCGATGGTCTGACAGGCAAGATCTGCTGATGGACTTTGACTTTGCTTTCTTTCCTTAGATGAACTACGACAAGCTATCGTGGCCATGATGAACAGAAAGGATGAGCTGGAAGAAGAGAACAGGTACCGTGCTTCTCAGTCTGTTCTGATCTTCCTCAGGTAGAGAATTAACAGATGAAGGCAGTTTTGCTTCATTGGCAAGTGCGACTGGTGATGTCTTAGCTTCTGTCTGGCTGTGCCATCTGAGTGTCCAGTGTGGCTTACGTGCAAGCAAGGAATGAGAACCTTGAATAATGGCATCACCTTAGAACAAGAATTTGGAAGAACAGCCTTTGATTCTCTTTAAAAAACAGCCTTTATTGAGATAAAATCCACACGCCCTACAGCTTGCCCATTGAGCATGTGCAGGCCAGCAGTTTTTAGTGTTTTCACAGATGCGTACGATCATTACCACAGTCAATTTTAGAACATTGTTATCACTTCAGAAAGAAGCCCCTGGACCATCCATTATCCCAAAGGCCCTTTGGAGTGGTCTTTGATCAAGGGCCTGTGTTAGGGTCCAGGCACTAACACTGTCTGAGGGTTTGTCCAACCCAGGGATACAGAGCAGGGCGACACTTGAATTCTCTGGAGTTGGCCAAAAGCTCCTTGAAGACACCCAGAAGCAAACATCTTTATTCTTCCCTTCCCTGTTGAAACAAGTGCCAGACGCCACCTGCTGTTGGCTTTTGTCTGCTGTTGGGCTTCTCTTCTGCCAGAACCTGCCTTGGCCGTGGTGTGGCTGGTAGGGGCCTGCCTGCCATTAACCAGGAAGCGCCCCCACCTGGGGAGGCAACAGGCCAGTACCACTTCACAAGCTTCTTCCTCATTCTTTATGGAACATGAAAGCAAATGAGTGTGATCTGTAAAACAGAAGAGTGTTTTAAAAGGAGTCTTTACAGATGGCACCATTTTCCAACTAAAATGCACTTTCCACAAAGGCCCAAAGCCCTGGCAGGGTGTGTTTCCTTGCTCCAGTGGGAGCTGTTTGCTGGGAAGGAGCCACAGGATTTATTTTCCCTTGTGAAGAACAGAACTCGTTGTCTGTTAATTTTTTCTTCCCAGAAAAGGAAAAAAATCATAGTGTGTTGATGCCAAGGCTTCCAGGTCCAAGAGGGGAGTCTCCCCAGCTCCCCAGGAGCACAGGTCTTGAGGGAGTCAGTGAACACCGGGCTGGGCTCAGGGCCTGGCGCTTTTGGCTGCACGCTGATGTTTTATGGCAATGTCCTGGATTGTGCAGGTGCAACACAGTCAGTCACTGTCGGCTAGAACTAGCCACTCGGGCATAGCGAAGGAAATGGTCTACAGAACCACGTGAGGCTTGTTTCTGGGTGGAAACTTGAGGCGAGCTACTGGTCTACTCCCTTTTTATGAGACTGGGAGTGAAAGACACACGAGAGAACATGTTTTGGAGGGGAATGTTAAGTGCCAGCCCTGCCGCAGCACGATGCTTGCTCAGCCGGAGGTCCCGAGGAAGGCCAGGCTCCCTGTGTGATGTGGGTGGTGGGCAGGGAGGCTGGACAGCTGTCATATCATCCGAGTGTATATTCTGTTTTTATGCTCCAGATATTCTTTTGGTCTCTCCCGACATCCTTTCCTTGGCTACATCTCTTACTCACTGCGTCTGTGACAAAATGAATCTAAATAATATCCTGCACCTTTTGGGGGGTGTGTTTTTAAAAGGACTTCTCTGGGACTTGTCAAGTCCTTGCTCTGCCTTGATCCACACAGTCAGATGGCCGTCTGCTCCTGGGAAAGCGGGGACATGGGGCCTGACTGCAGATGACTGCCCTGGGCTCCTTGTAATTCTTGCTCTCAGGTGATTGGCAGTGTTTGCTATCTCCTGAAGTAAGTTTCTATGAAATAGACTTGACTTAGTTTGTGCAGAGCCCTGTGGACAGTAAATGAGTCTGGACTTGGGTCAAGAACAGTTTTCTGGGCTTGAAGAACCTGTTTGATGGCATCTGAACAGTTGGGCCCCTCTTCCTAGATCCCTGCGGAACCTGCTTGATGGCGAGATGGAACATTCGGCTGCGCTCCGGCAGGAGGTGGACACCTTGAAAAGGAAGGTGACTGAGCAGGAGGAGCGGCACACCATGAAGGTCCAGGCTTTGGCAAGGTAGGGGGGGCAAGGGTGGAGGTGAGCATGGGGGCTGTTACAGGGCCGCACACTTTTCACATGTATGCTTTAATAATAAGAAGAAAGCAACCAAAGGAGACAAAATTTATCTACGTTCACTCAATAAGTGATGTGTATGCGTATGGTTCAAAATAATGGAGGTTAAACGTTGAGTCTCTGCTCACGGGTCCCAGCCAGCTGGTGCTCTCTGGATGCCCTTGCTGTTGCCAGTTGCAGAGAGGTTCTGTGTCCCCACACGACAGCGTGTGCACATGTAGCTGGCCAGTGCCTTTCCCACTCCCCCCTCACTTCACATCTTGGGGAGGATCTGTGTTGTTGTGCCAAGGGGCTCCCATCTTCCTTGTCCCGTTACTGTGTCATTATCTGATTGCACCAGAGTTAGTTTAACCAGTCTGCCAGTAGCTGAGTATTAAGGATTTTCCAATGTTGTGACTACTAATAGTGCCACAGCCAATACCCCTGTGCCTGTGCGAGTGTGTTTATTGGAAGCATTCCCAGAAGTAGACCTGCTGGTCGAGGTGCCTTTCTAGGCTGGGTGGCAGCCCCCGCTGCCCTCTCCAGGTGTTTGTTGAGCCACGCTTCTTCCACAGCAACCTGTGAGGTGGCGCTGCTGCCTAGCTATGTAGAACACGGTAGGATCCAGGTTTTGGGTCTCTGATAATATCACAGGAGAAAAATGAGGCTGGCAGAAGATCTTTCATTTCTGTTTCTCTGGTTATGGGTATGATGGAGCCTATTTTTACTTAAGAGCCATTTTTTTCTGTGATGTTTATCTTATTAAAACTGTAGTGAATAAAAAAAACCCAAAAAACCCAGCTCCCTTAAAACATCATTTTGTACTGAATGTGTTTTCTGAGCTGCACCCACAACCTCCAGCCTGTCGTTTCCCAGCCTGCCTCCTTGCTTGGCTTCCTATTGCAGAAGTGGTTTTTCTGGTAACCTTTTTTATATACCTGAATGTTGTATTTCATTGAATTAATCACCATATTAAATTGACCAATTTAATATGGTCAATTTACCATTTGGGTTGTTTCCAGTATTTCCCCCCATTTTAGGTGAGATAAGCAGTTTGTTGGTGGTTCCTCAAAAATTGCTTTTAAATTAGACCAGGAGAGAAATAGATTTCGCGGCTGTGTCGGGGCCCAGAGTTGGGTGCATTTGCAGTGGTGGCTCTTCCATCTTGGTGCTGCCAGGTTACGTAAGCAGCATTTGTATCGTTGACATGTGTCTGTCACTTTGACCTCTTATCCAAGCCTACTCTTCGAGCTTCTCCCCTTTCTTCAGGTTCTAAAATGATGTCTTGAGAACATCAGAGCCAGTTAAACGATAATCATAAATAGAGTGACTGGTGGCATTTTGTTAGCTGGTCCTTCATTTCACCTGGCCATGCTAAAACCCTGTGGCATGCTTGCAATCAGTGTCTATAGGAAAGCCTGCAGTCTTCAGAGAGGCCGGTTCTGAATCATCAGTGACAGAAAGGATTATATTCCCTGTCATTTACTGACTTGTGTAAAGACTTGGCTTATACTCAAGTTCCCGCTCCATTACTTGCAAATTGTGTTTCCGGGTGAACTACTTAACTTCTGCAAGTGTGTGTTTGCCCATCTATGAGATGGAGAGGGCAATCTTAACCACCCAGGCAGACTGGTTGAAGAGGGAACAGGGTGCGTAAGGTGCTGGGCGTGTGTGTTGTTGGGACCGTTGTCTAAAGGGTATTTTGGAATCTGATAATTCCAGGAAAAATTTTATCCCATAAATAGGGTAGAGGAAAAACAATTTCTTGACTAGGCAGTTGTGTAATATGAAGTCTCCTAATGGGAACAATGGGTTTAAGCGACTTGAGAGTTTGTGGTTTGCAGGTAGAAGGTCATCTGTTCAACAGGTGATTATTACAGAAGGAGAGAATGGAACAAAGCAAGGTGGTCAGCAGGATATGTAAGTTTGGAGAAGGTCAATTGCTGACAGAGTTCCACTCTGCCAGCTGTCAGAGCTTTCTGGCCGCAGGAGGAACAGCTGTTTGTTGGCAGACAGGACCTGCTGAGGTGGTGGGTGCTGGGCTGGGAGGGCTGTAGCCAGTGGGGCATCGAGTGCCAGGCTGGCAGTGAGTTTGCGCTGGCCCCACCCTGCTCTCAGGCCCACGTGTGCCCCCAGGGGCAGGTGTGACAAAGCAGGTGAACATTGAGGGTCAGACTGTGGCTCTGTTCCTTTCTAGTGGTGTGACCTTGGGAAGTTACTTAATCTCTTTTGGTTTTCTTAGTTGTAAAATGGGGATAAGAAAATTCTCTGCCTCATTGAGTTATTGCATGAATAAAACGAGAGAGACCATTTGTCAGCTCAATAAATATGCTTCCCACAAGCTCAGTAAATGTTAACTATCATCATTTTTCTTTAATATAAAAATTATGTTACTAAGAGACGTTGCCTAATCAAAAGATATATTTTAACAGCAATGGTATAGAAAGAACAGTGCAGGCTACTTTAGATTCAGAACTGTGGAGTTTATTTTGTGTAAACATTCTAATACCAAGCGTGTATTTGTGTGTTTTACAGGCTTTGAGTGTATATTGTGAGGCTGAAATATCACTGAGCAACTTCTGCATTTGATTACAGATTTCTTTTGCTAAAAATTAATGGCTTTCCTTTCATCTGTCACAGTTCGACCAAGAACGAGTTCATGTAACTAGCTCGGTGCTTTTGTGGCCCTGAGCACCTGCTAGGCCCCGATGTGGAGGCATTACAGTCAGATGCAGTTAGGACTGTGCCAGTCACATTCCTCTAAATAATTGATTGCCTTGCTTCCTGCTGAATTAAGAAAACTCAAACTATGAGGCAGATGTTCAAAGAAAGAAGATACAAGTTTACACTGAGAGGGAAGTGTGAGACTCTTATGCCACTGTGACAGGCTGCCACAGACGGGGTGATCTAGAATGGACATAAATTTACTGGGCTCATGGTTCTGAGGCTGGAAGTCCAGGATGGGAGGGGCTGCATTGGCCAGGCCCTCTGCTGAATGATGGTGTGGCGGAAGCATCACAGAGGAGACCGTGTGAGAGGGAAGAGAGCAGAAGTCGCTTCTTTTAAACAATCCCGTTCTTGTGGTGAGGACATTAATCTACTGGAGAGGGCAAAGCCCTCTTGACCTAACCACCTCCCAACATTGCATGAGGAATTAAGTTTCTAATACCTGAACTGAGGGGGGACACAAGCATTGCAGCAAGCAAATAAACATGGTGGTTGGATTGTATCGGGACATTTTCTATTTCTGCTTATTGAGATAACTATCTCCAAACTTGTTTGTTTAAAACAACAAATGCTTGTAATCCTCCTTTCTGTGAGGAATCTGGGAATGACTTGGCTTGGGCAAGAGGTGGCTGCTGGCCAAAGTTGCTGCCATCTGAAGGTTTGGCTGGGACTGGAGGGACCATTCTCATGCTTACTCACGTGACTGAACAGGCTTTGGCTCCTGGCCCTATGGGCCTCTTGTTAGGGCTGTGGACAACCGTAGCCGATTCCCATAGGGCATAGCTCAAGAGTGAGAGCATACCCAAGATGTCAGCCATCATGTTTTGATAACCTGATCTTGGAGCTGACACCAACCACTTCCACTGTATTTTCTAGTTATATAGATCAGCCCTGATGTAATGTGGGAGGGGAATACACACAAGGCAGGGGCCATCTTGAAGGCTGCCCCCATGACCATCAGATTGTAGCTACCTACGGGGACCACAGGCACTGCAGAGAAAGAACCAGCAGTTTGCATCTCTCTAGAAAGATTTATTGTAAGTACTGGCCAATGTGGGCATGGATGATAATGGCTTGCACGTGTCCGTGGTCTATAGTGTGCAGGCTGGAGATCGGGGACGCTGGTGGTACAATCACAAGGCCTGATGTCCAGAGGGCTGCTGTTACAGAAGCAGTCTGAATTGGAAAGGCCTGAGAATTGAAAGCACCAAGGGCAGGAGAGCAGTGATGCAGCTCGAGAGAATTCGCCTTCCTGTTTGTGTGTGTGTGCGTGCGTGTATGCTGCTCGGGCCTGATGTATGCTCCTCGTGCATGATGCCAGGCTCATGGCTGCAGGCCGTGTGCCCTGCTCAGTTCACCAGTGCAAATGCGAATCTCTTCTGGAAACACCCCCAGGCTCAGAGAGATGATGTTTAAGCAGATACCTGGGTATCCTGGGATCCCTTCAAATTAACACAGATTAACCCTTATTCTACCCTGGATCTCTGTGGTGAACTCCTCCTCCTCCTCCTCCTCCCCACTCTGTCCATGTGGTTTGATGGGGTTGACCCCGTCCTTCCCTCTGCCTGCCATGCTTTGGAGGAGATTGGCTGATCCAGGCCTGGACAGTCAGTGACTCCATCCCTCAAGTTTTTGGCGACTTTTATGCCCTGTGAGAAGATCCTAACACCAAGTGGCACCAACACGGTGGAGAAATGGGGGGAGTGAAAATCAACAGTTCCTGATGATGTTGTTTGAGCTGCTGGATCCAGTCTTTCCTGAAGATGTTTTTCCCTCTGGTATTTTTAAGTGCATTGCTTTTGTTCTTTGAGTGAGAACCAACTACAGGCTGGCTCAGTTGTAATGTTGAGTCCTGACTGAGGGGGGTTCTGGTTTGGGTGTTGGCCTGGAGCAGATTGGGTGTTCTCTGGGTCTATGTAGATTCACCCTCTCAACTGTGAACCTGCCAGATCCAGGAAGGGACTTCTTGTTTGTGGAGATTTACCAAGGGGTGGAGACAGCGTTCTTGAGAAACCTGCTGGGTTATTGGAACAGCTCTGTCCCAGGCTGCTGCTCCTGTCTCTCCTGTGGGGCCAGCTTAGCATGGTCCTGTGGTCAGCTTTTCCCTCCTGCTGGGCGGCTGGGCACTATCAGAGGTGTGTCACGTTTTTCCCAGCCCCTCCTGAAGCCTCTGGGTCCTCTTCTCCTTAAACACTTAGGCTTGTGCTGCCCCACCCCCTCCCGAGGCTGCCTGATGT